TCTTTTCAAGAAACATTTGCACGCCCTTTTAGAACACTGTCAGCGTTGAAAAATACGCTTGAAAGTTTAAGGAAACAAAACGTTATACCTCCTACCATTAGTCCCCTGCTTACTTTACATATTTCCGAAGATTATGCCATGTTCACAGGTGTTCGAGATTTTCTCTGGACTGTAGCGAGCCCATCATCTATTTACGTTACTTATAAATGGAACCTTAACATTTTTTTGTTTACTTGTGTACTTTATCCATCTGACTGTCAGTGACCCCTGACGACCTAAAGAGACGCGTGTTCACCATACACTAATCACCAACACACTTGCGGGTTTCCTCTGAACGCGAAGCCCCACTTGAAAACACACACAGGAGAGATAAGAGAACGACAACCATGCCAAAGGCGGTACTCGAACTCGCGACGCTTTGGACCGAAGCACTGAGTCGGTACATGCTCTTAGCCACCTCAGCACAAAAAATGTTACTCCTTCCAAATCACCAGATAATTGAACCGGGATGCAGCGGGCTATGCCTTCTCAGGTAAATAAAAGTGAAAAGGGATTCGCGGGAAGCGAGGTTGAGGTAAAATTGACCCCGGGATGAAGCCGGGCGATTCCCGGCTGCCCCGCTGCCCCCCCCCCCCGCGCCAGTCGCTGGAAAGGCAGCTCACGCCGCTGTCACCGCAGATTCAACAGATGATCCGCGGTGTCGGTCCGGGATATTTTTTTCGATGAACTGAACATTTAGTAATGCGTCTGTCATCTCCAAACAGCCCAGAGAATCTTTCGCTAACCATCACGGCGATAGTGATTATTAAGTCTGCCGCAGTTGCAGACGAAGTGTCTGGTATCGTTCTTTTGATGGAGCACTACCCTTCACCAGCTAATGGTAATTTTAAAAGTGACTCGATCCGTCTAACCCTACATGGTTTTTTTACAAGACTATTTTTTTTCAACTTATTGCTATCCGCGATTTGAACTGTATCATTTTGTAGTCCATTTTGGTATATTCATGACCAATCGTCAAGAATTTCCTTTCAACCTACATCAAAGACCTATTTCCAACTCGTCGCAGGTTAAAATATTATTTCCATGAACACAAGACGTAATAACAGCGAAAATTGAAGCTTTGACACACCGAACAAAACATCCAATAGTTAATTTCCTCCCTGACGATTCAAGAATTCACTTAACAACCACGCTCGCTTCAAACAACAAATTCCATCACAGAACGCATTAAACTACGAGAGCGAAAAATAGGCATCAAATGAAGTTTGAAAGTTCATTAGAGAGCAACGCTAAAAGCGAAGTGTATTTTGGAAACGTTGCGCTTACTGTTGATTTCTGCTTCACGGCTGGTTCCAGCGCTGTCGTAAAAGGAGAAAAGCAACTCGAGAGAAAACCCCCCGCGCTGCGGATCGATACAAATATCTCGTCCGCCAAACATACAAAGCGACTTTCTTTACCAACAGAATCAGCACGCTCACCCATCGAAACGAGGAGCGTACTAGTCCGGAGCACAAAGAAGAGTTGCTCTAAGTGTTTATGGCCATGATCGTCGAGGCGTAAGATAACGGACAACAATGTGCGTGCATCTCTTCGCACGCAGTGTATCCACGGAGATTTCTACGGCTTGTTTTCTGAATGACGAATTCTTGTTACGTAAACCTGTCAACCAAGCATTTCTTACTTATTACGTTTTGCATTTCATGTGAATTGCTTAATGTTTGAGGTTGACGTTTTAGAAACAGCCGCATTGCAGATCTCTCGCAAAACACTGAGAAAAATATCACTGGACTTGGCTAGCTTACATAGAACACTAGTACTATTGGCAAACTTATTTGCAATTGTTGATGATATTAACAAATGAATAAAATTACTGAGAAAGTAAAACAGAATTTGGACTATCCAGAATAATTGAAACTTGTTGAATGATTTTAGCAAAAAGCGGTGTCTAATGCACTTATATTTTGGGGAGGACAGCAAAATAATTCTGGAAGAGAGAACTTCCAACGAACTAGAAATAAGTCTGCGCATTTTTTCAGTATACATCGGTTTTTCGATTATCAGTTGTATATATAATTATCTCAAACACAATTCATTAAATTCACATATCCACACTACTTTCATGAAAAAATCTCTCTCTTCTCAGTTCTAGAAGCCGCTCTTAATAAAAACAGCGCAAAACTGTTGAACCACCCACATACCGAGCTCTGAGTCCCGTACTGCTCTGTCACCCGCACGTTTCAAGAGCTAGAGATTAAGATGGAGAAGTGCCAACCTCCCAAAAAAGTGGGTGCACGGTGGTTATAACACAGGTTGCCGTCGTGGAAGCATTGTGGAAACAGGAGGTGACAGACCTTTAACACCTTTCACACGAAACTATTCTTCAAAAAAAAGATACGAACAATCATGCAAAAAAGGAAGGCCAGAATAGTAAGATGGTTTGTTATGAAAGTTCGGTACCTATACGATAAAGTAGTCTGGCTGGCCTTACCTATCCTCAAAAGAATCCCTGTGAAAAGACTGAATAAACCACGAACGTACATCTGATCCTTTTGTAGAGATTCGAACAAAAGGCTTTTCGGAGGCACCATCATCCTACTCGCCTAATGCCCAAAATTAAACCCCTTTTAATGTCTGTGAGTTTCGAGAAAGGCCGAATGACAGACATAATTAGAAACCAAAGTGGGTGTGGCCGAGACACACGGTTGAAGTGAAACATTCTAAACGAATTCATTAAAGCAGAATTCTCTGAACCAAAATTATAACTTACGGTTTACTTATTTATTTTCATTTTACATTGGACAAATCGGTGTACGAGTTTAAACAGTTTAAATGGCAATTAATAATTGACATAGTGTATTATGGAATTGACATAAAGAGTGATAAGAGAAATTGATGGATTAACGTGACGCAGTATTCGTAATAATGTTATTGATTATAATCCGTGTCTATCAATGCTCCAATTCCTAGAACTTTCATTTCAAAAAAGAGTTTACACTATTATTCAATTTAAAATTAATGATCTATTCGACTTGTATACGTAAAACACAAATGCACTTCAACTTCAGCACGAATTAAATATCTCGAAATATACAACTTAGCAAATAGTAATAGAAGAACGGAAAGAGAAATATCTATTGAATTGCTCACATTAAACACACACGATATACAATTTTCAGGGAAATGACACCCACGTTTTTTCCTATCAGTGGGATTTACACTCCGATATTTGGGAGGTATTAGATCTTCGTGAACTATTTGTAACACTAACAAGTAAAAGTGCTGACAGAAGTTGCCTCTGCTACAAAGCGTTCCCTAATTTTCCGTAGCTTTTCCTAGAGATAAATTTTTGCATCCCCCAGTTGCTGGCCATGTGCCATTCGCCAAGAGCTCCAACGATGATCTAGAGAATCTCGACGAGCCAGAATTGAGCTTTGACGAACTGAGCAGAAAAGTGTTTTACGCTTATTTTGTGTCCATGTTTTCTGGACAGACAACGGAGTCAGTAAATTTCTATTTTACGTCATGACACTGCTGTTATCAGAAAAGGTCCATCAGCTTCTTTCACGGCTTGGTTTTTTACTATGACTGCCAACACACAGGCGATAAATGTTTATTTCAGATATTATTAGTTTTATGAAGTGTAGCAATGAATCATGAAATTTAAGCTAAGGCAGCGTTTGAAGGCAATAATGGTTATTTACGAAGTAAGTCTCGTAAGATATCTCATTACAATGCGAGATTGAAGAATTGACAAACTAGATCGTTAGACCGAGTTTGATAACTAATCTAGTATCGTAATAAGATGATGCGATACGAAAATCGTTAAACGTTTTACCCACTTTGTAAAAATTCCATTGAACTCATTAAAACCTTCGTTTATATTTGAGTACTCTTCCTGCGACTGATGTTGCCTTAGTAAGTGACCATTATTATTAGAACAGTGTGTGAACGCTTCTCCGTTTCATTACAAAATGTTTTAATAGCGGAAAGCAATAAACTTGATAATAGTGTGCCATGGAACATTAGAGTACGAGGGTCCTAATAACTTGTTACGAAACTGACATTAGCCTCGTAAAGTTTGACTTAAGTTATTCACTTTCGGTTATCTCACTTGATATTAAACATTATTATATTACTGCATCGAATATTATTACTTAATAATATTTACAGAAAATTTATATTATGTTAATATTTATTTAGACGTAACTATTTTAGTGCCTGTTGGCGACTGAACGAAATTCTCACGTCATAGCTAGATATCGAATTGGTAATTCAAAAGTATACTTTTCGAGTTTGAAAATAGGTTTTACCTATTTCCAACCTCTCTTTTTGTCTTTGTTTATTCACTGATCCATGTCCAAATTACATGGGAATGGGTCAATTTGTTACTTTTCAGCATACATGCTATAATTAGCTATTTCATTTCAACTTCTTCGTTTTCGTTTAAATAGATAAAGTTTATAAAATAATGCACGACACTAAAGAGAAAAACGATTAGAAAGTGGATTGAAATTGTAATGTCACGAAGTGTAAAAATTTGATGCTACCGAGATCCGAGCACGGGATCTTTATTTATAAATACAGATTCTCCAGATCCAGACATAGCAAGCGCAGCTACCCAATTAAGTGGGGTTCTTCAATTTCGATCACCTACACCCATCATTCCAATACGTATCGCTAAGGAGTTCTTTACGGTGGGAGGAATATGTCATGTTCACCACATGTCTTCTACCCCCCAAACATGGGATTTAAACAAGGTCCAGCCTTGGGGAGGGGGCATCGTTAGCTAGCCGGCAAAGTCGGACAACAGACCCAAAATGCCAACTACATTCATTATTCACAAGAGCTTCGAAAGCTTTTACGTTTGAAGCATTTTGGCGAGGTTTCTTTTGCCCCTTTCAAAGTCTGCTGAAAGGAAACGCGAAATATTTACGTCGGTGCTAGTAGATATTATTCATTGTAAAGTAAAAGTTTCATATTGTAAATATTTTATATTTTACATTCATCTTTTTCTCCTTTTTCTTGATTTCAGCATTTCTTACAAAGACTTTTGACTTCGCTGTTCTCACTACTACAATGTCAGAAACAACAAACTTCGAACAATAATAATAATAGTAATAATAATAAAAATAGTAATAATAATAGTAATAATAATAATAATAATAATAATAATAATAATAATAATAATAATAATTTAATAACTAACGTCGAATAAACAAACCGTGATGCACTTTCGTGACTATATTTCCAAGTGAAACTTTCTTTTATTTTTATCCGCGTACAATACATATGAAGTTTCTCTGCAGAAACACAATTTAAGTTTTACTTTTCATATATTTAGGAACGATATAGAGCATGTATCAATACATTAGGTAGCCTACCCTTAAACACAATTTCCCTAAAACTCCACCTTTCTCGGAAAGTACAAAACAAGTATCGAGAAAGTAAATTAAGACAATCACTACAACGGTTTTCTGACATGGGTCGTCTCATGATAACATTTACAAATTACTTTTTTTTCGCATCACGTTGAAACCATTTCTGCAACAAATCTGGACACGTTGTCACATTCATCACTGACAATTATGTTTTGAAATCCCCAGTTCGCGTTTTCGTGTTTCCATTCGCGACTGCACCGCCAGCAATGCCCAGAAATCGCGAAACGCGAAATCTCGTGGCGAAGTCCACCCGCGACCGCGATCAGCGCCAAGCTGCACCGCACACACGCGTGCTATCACCACCCGCGCATCGCCCGCGCGCGGGGCAGGGACGCGTGCGGGGGAGGGGAGTCGCTTTTTCTCGGGCGATAGCGTAGCCTGGCGGGCGCCAGCAGGATATCAAAGCCCTGCTAATCTGCGGCGCCAAGCGGTCTTCCGCGTTTCGCTCGCCGACGAAAGCCAAGAGGCCGCTGCTAATAAATCGGATTACGACCCGAATTGCTCGCACGTGAGCTGCGCGGAAAATAGATGAGCACACCGAGGACGTCAAGAACCTTCCAATTCATTGAGCTCGTCAAGCATGGAAATGATGTTACGAAAGATTTTACTGCCCTCGGACAAAAAATTAAGAGCGTCTTGAAAACGGAAAATGGAATCTTATAATTTACTGGGGAAACGAAAACTTTAAATTAGGAGAAAAATCTATTTTAATGATAAATTACGTTGATATAAAAAATAATGAATACGTTGATTTCCTGAAGAGTCTAAAGAACTAATCTTAGAGAGCCGTTACCGGAACATTAACTGTTAACATCACGTGCTAATTTTGAATACATTAAAATATTACTAATTTCCAACGCGCGAAGAAGTTGAAAGAATATTACGCAGAACCAGCGTGTGAAAGGTCTATGTTTTCGTTAAATTCCCAGGAACATGATGAAAAACAAAAACTCTAGATTACTGATCCCTAATGCGCGCAGAAAGTAAAAGAAAACTACGCAGCTTTCTGCCATATCAGAGATGACTTTCGTTTCGATAGATAATCAGAAACTTGAGACAAATTCTAAAACAATGACATGACAATTCGATTTTGACTCAATAATGCAAATATTTTATTGTATTATTCCACCCAGTCTCGTACTTCGTGTACCTCTTGAATTCTCATATTCAGTGCGATACTGTTGGCGTCTTGCGTTGTGTAAGACTTTAAATAAGATACCCCGCGCCAAGCAATATTTACTATTCACGTGTTGCGTCATAAAACAGAATTTTTTTTACATTCTTAATGTGTAAAAAACTTATATTGTGTAACTATATAATTAACGCAATTTATAAAAAAATCATTTTCTCAAAATCGCTCCAATTTTTTTTCACAGATAAAACAAGGGGCGCTTAAAAGAATGGCGCAGGTCTGATTTTCGTTGCACTCTCTGAATGTTTGAAAATTGCGTTTTGGAAAAACAGAGAGACAATTATATTTTTAAACTCCAGCCGAGAGAATACGCCAGAGCGCCTGCGTGTTGAAGCGTTAAAGCGCACGGCAAGTTACTCAATGGACCTCAATTCGAGACTCCACACGGACAAAAACTGCTGGTTGAATGCACTTTTGCAGCTTCATGTAGTAAATATAAAATTGCGGAGCAGTTACAAATAATGGGAGAAGTGTATGATGTAACACCACTATTTGATATTAACATTACGTTTCTAGAGTGAGAGATTTTTTAGTATAATGTATCTCATACAATACGCGTTCATTAATTTTCGAAAGCTGATGATCATGATGACATTGCGCAAAGAAACAATGTCAGGAATAATAAAGTAATTTGTTTGGAAATCAGTTTTCTTGCTCTTCTCCGCCATTCTTCTGCTATTGTGATTCCTAAAGAAACGCGTGCAATTTGCATTGATCTCGAGGAGCCCTAATCATTTTCGTATTCTTTTCCTTTCCCGCTACAGAAGAGGAAGTTTTGATGCAATGTTTTGTCAATATGAGAGATTGACACCTTTAATTTTTTCAACGGAAGACACATTCTATTTTCAAATTAAAATATTTAGTGGGATCCTGGAAGAATAGTCTTTACGGGCTTCACGCCTAAACATGTATTGGGCGTAATCAACATGATTTTATCACAGAATTCTTCGTAGGTTTCAGTGAGATCAAACCTGAGTGTGAAAAAACAAAGTTGGCAATGACAATCTAGTTTAATGGTATGTTAGTACCGATAAACAAATATTCAAATTACAATAATTTATTGTTTAGTTTATTGTTCACAAATGCAATATATTTTCGTTAATTACTATAATCTATTCAGTCTTCATTCACTATGTTTTATATTAGTAGCGCAATCTAGATTTTGGGATGAGAACGGTGGCCAGACGATTTGATGTTTTCCTATTAAGAATTTTTCATTTTTGCTTAATTTAAAATTTATTTTAATATGTCTATTTATAATTATTTTTAACGTAGTGAAAAGGAAAACTAATAACTTTCGGTACATAAAAAAATAGTAAAATTATATTTGGGAAAAGGTGTCATTGGTTCCTAAAACTCCCCTTTGGGGGCGCCACTGCTTCATTGTCATTATCACAGAATGTCTTTCCCACGGCTTAGAATCGTCCTTGGCTACAACGTCCCCGCTTACTCGATTTTTTCTCAGGACTGTCAACTTTTCTCCTGTCCATTACGTTCCTCGATGAACTTCGAAAGATTCGACTCGAAACTGTGACGGACCAAACGATTTATAGCCATTTTAGTAATCTAATCAACGTTACGAATCAAAAGGATGAACTAATGACAACGTAGAATTCTGAAGGGAACGTTCATTCAGATTCTAAACAGAAAATGACATCCGGCTAGACACTGTGCGACTGTCCTCTGAAGATCTTCCTCGTAGACGCGGAAAGCAGAGAGGGGAAGGACGGTTCGCACGTCTTCGAAGAACGGCTTGAGCGCTTCCCCATCATTAAGACGCAGACAACAGGAGCAGCCTGTCGCCTCGCCAGAGGGAAAATCCTTCACTCGCCCTCGGCACAAGAGGGCGACGTCGGTTCACTCCGAGCTCCTCACTCCGTCCTCGCAAGAATCTCAAAGGGGATCTCTGAATTAATTCAATTTGCGGAACTTTGTTCCCGGATTAATATTTTCTGGAGGATCTGAGAATGCGAAAATCGAGGAAAAAGGATTCGAACAACTCGGAACGTTTATGAGCGACCGGAGCACTTTTTTGTTAAAGAAATTCGTTTTCTCTGGTGAAAATAATTTAAGCGGATTGAAGCAAAAGACTACCACTAGGAAATTCACGACGAATCTACAGGCTGAATACCGTTTGTCCTGCTGAAGTAAATTACTCTTATCACAACGAGTAGGGATCCCTTCACACACACGCCACCCTTAATCATGGAGACAGCATCACTCAAGACACTCTATGATACATGCACCACACGGAGAATAAGTAAAAAACTTCCGTGACAAGGATTTCGGTCTCCGGACTTTTGAGACTCCAAGGCAGACACATGACCAACGGCGTCCGCTTTTGCGCCTGGGAAGCCCTGGGCTTCTGTGAGCACGGACAGCTTCCCCTGACCCCGTTCTTATTTCCCCTCAAATCAAGAAACATGTTTTCGAGCTCAAGCTGTAGCAGAAATGGTAAGAGCAAAGCTCAAAATACCACGAAAATGGTTGCTTTATTCGAAAGTAAGTATTCTTGATGTTTTCTATCGTACAATAAAGATTTGAATAATGTTAAAGTTTTCGAAACATTTTTGTACAAATATGTTTGAATGCAAATTCTTCGCTTGTTTTCGTTGTGTTATGTTGTATTAAATCATTCTGTTATTTGTTGTATATAGCAATAATGTGAAAGAAATTACCAAGTCTCTCTTACAGCTCTTTTAAGATATAAGAGTTTTCGTCTTTTAAACACATTGACCTGAATGTATGAAGTTATTGCAATTACTGAAATCTCTTGAGTAAATGCGATTATGAAATAAGCTTTTGAATCAAAATGTTTCATTCAACACGCAACTGACAATTTGAAATGTGGCTGATGTATTTCATACCAATGAATCATTTCTTTGCTTTAATAGAGGAAATGGGAGCTAATATGGAGAAAGGACAGTCCTTTTTCTTTACTATCATCATTTCGTGGCCAATAACTGTCATCTTATCTCTCCAAAATACAGTATAGCCCAAGAATCCAGTGACGTACCGCTATCCCGGAGAAATTCTACAACTCACACTTTTAAATTTCTCGTCATTTACTCTGGATGCAGTGCTCACAAACTCTAGTACGCTATTCTGCTATTAATTCGAAAGACGAATTTACTTCAATATCATATACTCAATTGTAAAGAAGCTTAGATTAGATAATATCGCCAGATATTGTTTTCCATTCGCCCTTCGATTTAATCAGAGTATAGTTACTTATCCCATCGACCTTGCCTGCCTGTTCCAAGCAGTATACGATTTTCGCTTCTACTGCCTACCAAATAGGTTGAATGATATGTCACAATTGTCTTATTACTGCAGGTACCTATACATTCTAATATTCATTTATAAATTATTCAATAACATAATTAAATACTATATTGTCTGCGTATTACAGAAGAGAAATAGAGTAACATCTTTCAAATTATTGTGCTCTAATAAAGATCACAATGTTTATCATAAGTTCTACAAACTGTAATTTTTATTATAAAATGATTTTCTTTTATGTTTAAAAATTTTCACAGATATACTACCTCTAGAAAGTACAGCCAATAGTGATTTATGTCAGTTGGTTTGTGCGTAACGGGTTCCATTCCTTGGGAGTCTCTTTAGACATTAGTTCCCTCTGACATATCCACACGGATATTTTCCGTCTGACGGCAGAGTACAGGATCACAAGCGGATATAGACTTTCCTCATTACTAACAAACATTGCTTAATTCTATACAATCCTTACGTTTAATCTGAATCTATTGAATAAAATAATATTTGATACTACTTTATTTGTTTATTATTTTTATTATTATTATTATTATTAATTTAACATTAATACATTATTAAAATGTTTTTCATGCCAATATATTCAATTTGTTATAACTTGTACGTAGCTTTTCGCATTAAATGTGTATCTGATAAGACAATGAACAAAAAATACTAAACACAATACTCCGGTACCAAACAAAAATACAGAAGTGCGGGCCGTGAGAACCTGAGCAGATAAAAAAGTTGCGAATTCACAACTTCCTCTCCTAAGATCAACAAAGGAGACCTCTCCAAGAAAGGTCGGGCGGCAAGTAAATTTCGTAACATGATATTCGTGTCGCTTTGATCAGTCTTTCTTTTTTATAGACGCAAACTAGATAAATACAAAATATTAATGCATACAAATTACATGGAGACCTCTCATTGGCAAAATGCTTGCATTAACCATCGAAATCTAAACATACGATACTTTTTTTAAAAGTAAACTTTCTCACGTATTTGAATCTGCATTTGCAAATAAAGTTATTTCGAACTACAAACTACCGCACAATAGCTCAAAATAAAGTAAAACTATGCAGAACACCACAAAGACAGATAAGCTGTTATCGCATACAACTAACCGCTGCGTGGCATGGCTCGATGCAGCAACGCTCCTAAACAGCAAAGTTGCTCTGACGCCGTGGAGGCCCACCTCTCTGCAACGCCCCGGGCTTTGTGCTCGCGAGCGTCAAAAGGTAGGGCTAGGAGTACACCGAATGAGTTTGCCTGTGAAGTCCGCGACTGAAGCTTCGAAGACCACTAGGCCCTTGGATCAGATTCCGCCGCCGCCGAAATTTCGACTCCAGCTATGTTGCTGTATGAGAGGAAAGAGCATGCTGGGAGTCGGCTGCTGTGATTGGTCGTTTACGTGTTTGTTTGTTTTTCGATCAATTGCAGGTGGATGCTGAGAAAAAACCTTTAACAACTAATATCGGACCAACCGGCGATCTTTGTCCAATGTTTCTTCACTTTTATATAACCAAATATGAAAACTCCCCGATCTATACACGTTCCTGTAGTACAGGTAGCTCACGGATGTCAGGCCAAGACTACGTGGGGAATAACTTCATGGTTACAAGGTTTTACATTAATTCTACGACTTGTGACTCAAATTAGAAAGGTGTGATTTCAGTGTTATAGGATTATTACTCGCGGTATTTAGAGTGAGGCGTGGGTCTCTTGCGTGAGAAAATTATTACAATTTCACCATAGAAAACATTGACTGATGCTAAAGAGTCAGTTCCAAATTTGTTGACATTATTATCAATTCATCAATTTATCCCTGTACATTTGATAAAAAGGACGTGTCTTTGCGTAGCAGAACAACAATTTGTCCAAACGTTGTTAGTATCAAAGGACGTGTAATATGTAGAGCAAAATAAAGTTAAAATATAGTTATAAAGATAAAATAAAGTTTCAGCATCGCAATAAGATACGAGATTATCTAGATGACTCACATTCTGATACACCTGCAGACACCGAACTAACGTATGAAATTGTCGATATGTCAATCTCGGTCGTGTTTGCTTCCTCGGAAAAATAAAAAAAGTTAATGACAGTATTGACGTGTTTCAGATGCGTCATCAACGCTGCCGGCCAACAAACGACCGCGATCAACCACAAGAATGCACGAAGAACAACTCGTGGCTATAACCGTAAACTAATTTTGAAGAAAATAAATGAGTCAACAAAAAAGTAAATTGAATAGAAAATTTTGTAAGAAAGTACCTCTTAATCAATATATTGTGATTCAGATTTAAGAAATTCAGTGCTGAATTTGAAACATTAAAATGTTTTTCATCGGTGTATCAAAAGTAGTATAATCATTATCGAACTCTTCAATTGTCGATAAAATGAATTACATTTCAACAAATTGTGAATAAAATAAAATAATACACGAGATGAACATGAAAAATGCAGGACCACATATTGTATTAATTACATCACTCCCAAAAGAAACATTTATAAATGTAAACTTTATAGCCATTAGAACGCAAGGTCTCGAAAATTGTGAATTCAGCCATCCTAAAATCCATATTCGCAACACAAAGATGTACCAACACTTCCTATTCAAGTGATTACCGATTAGCTTTGTGTATTCCTTGTTCGGCATCGGCAGTAATTAGAATCACACTCAGCTGTATAACTCATTCCTGAAATCTCCGGAGTCAATCCTATGAAAGCAGTTTTAAATACTATGCAAAACTGAAAATTCAACACTGACAAGAATCTTTTTTTAAATTTAAAAGTAAACAAATATGTTTCCTTCGTTAGAAGCAAATTAACGGGGCGGGGTGTTTAATAGAGCATTCCCAGGGAGCACGGGCACCAAAGAAGACAAAAGACGTGGGGCAGTAGATCCAATGCGGCCCCTATTTTCAAATAAAAGTCCACCCCCCCCACAGAATTGATTAAGAGAATTTATTTCTCCAAGCAATAGAAATAACTTTCAACGGTTAATTTGAATTAGTTATTAGTTGTAAAGAAGCTTTTAATTTATTTGGAATGAAAAAAAAATTTGGGGACATAATTAAGTCGCGTCCAGGTGCATGTTGCCTCAGCCCTTTTTGGCACCCCTGCCAGAAATAATGATGTCCCCTACTATGTCATCAATGAATTCCACACTGAAATGTCCAATTCAACGAATCAGTTCAGGAAATTGATTTTTTTCAAACATTTACGAGAACATTAATTGGATTTATTCTTATTGCGATAATATATCTTCGTTCCCCTCATCACATCGTCGATTCTTCTCTCTCTGAAGTCTTGAACACACCCTTAAAATAAAATTCATACCGGTTTCACGATATGACATGGAAGTTCTTGAGAACGTTGAAGGTCAGTAACATCGTAGTTTCAGGGTTTGATCATAGACACATCGGAGACGATTCGTTCCACAACGGCCCTTTCGTGTTCCGAGCCGGCGCAAGGTCACGGGGTGGGGGAGCTCGCGCGTCGGGGTCGCCGGGGGCCGTGCCTCACCTGCAGGTGGTCGAGCAGCGCCTCCAGGCCGTGGTCGCTGACGCTGGAGCAGCGCAGGCTGAGCGAGTGCACGTGCTTGGTGGCCTGCGGGAAGGAGTGCACGAGGTCGAGCGCGTCCTCGTCGGTGGCGCCGAGCAGGCAGACGGCGTGGAAGCCGCGGCGCAGCAGCGACGCGTACAGGCGCGCGCGCTCGGCGCAGGGCGCGGCGCGCAGCTCCCGGCAGCGCAGCACGGGCACCAGCCGGCCCAGAAGCGCGCGCTGGCGGTACAGCACGTCGCGCCAGCGCGAGCACACCTGCGCCCGCGCGCGCCGCTCGCGCCGCGCTGAATACAGGAAGAACGCGCCCGGAAGCCGCTCCGTCCCTGCATCAACTGCTCCCACGACAGGTAGGGCGGTGCTGCCGGCGCGGCGCAGCGAACCGGCGGCGGCTGCCGGCGGCGGCGAGCGGCGACGGCGGCCGCAAGTGCACCCGCCGCCCGGCCGCGTCACGCGCCGCGCCAGCTGCGGCGTCACCAGCACACGTTTCATTCCGGCCGAGACGTCGCCCTTGGTGCGGCTGGACACGCAGCCGCGACGGCTTCCTCGGGGGCGCCCACCCCCGCGGCGGCGCCCGCGCGCTCGCGCCCCCGCCCCCGCAGAACCGTTGGTGACCCGCTCCATGACGCTGGCCTTGGGCGAGCATGGTTCGCGCGTTCTGCCCCGAGCGGTGTGCTTGCTGCTTCTCAGTCCCCGCCCATTGATCCGCTTGGACAGCTCGGCACTGGCTCGCTCCACAACCCCTGGGCGGAGATGAGGACATGACGCGGCCGACCGGGTGTCAGCGAGGACATTGGCGCGGACGCCGGTCCCTCACGTGGCGCGCTGGCCGGCCTGCGGACGGCGGCGCGCTGATCGCGGCACGGAATCGACGGCGAACCCAGAGCCCGGACTGGCTGCCACGCCACACGCGCGACCTCTCCACTCGCACTCGACGCGCCCGCTCGCTGCCCTCGGCGCCACGAACGGCTTCGCACTGACGCGAGACAGCAACAGAGCCTGGCGGGCACCGCACGGCCCCAGACGACCCGCCCCCGCCCCGCGCGCCCCCTCCAGCGGCGGCCGCACGGCTGCGCACAGCGGCCGCGCGCGGGTTCGGCGCCAGCGGAGGCCGCGGCGGCGGGCAGCGCACCGGCGCCCGGCGCGCCTGCGCCTGCCGCCGCCGCCGCCGCCGCCGCTTTGCCGGCAGGCGCGCGCGCGGGGAGCGCGCCCGGCCGATGGCCGGCCCTGCTGTTCGCACCTGCCGCGCCGCTATCGATTATTTTCCTTCCGCCACCGCCGTTTCGCAGGCGCCCGCGCCCCGAGGGCGCGCCCTCGAGCGCCGACGCGCAGCGGACGCGACGCGCCGCGGCGCCGGCCACTTGCGCCCCGGGCGCCGCCGCCACGCGCCGCCCGAGCAGCACCTGCCGCCACCCCGCCGACGCAAGGCTGCTCCTGCTCCGGCGGCAGCGGCCCGGCTCGGCCCTGCGAGACGAGGTTCCCGTTTCCAACAATTTTATTCCCAGTCACAAACCGAAAATGTAACTTATTTACAGGGATGTAAAATATTATTTATTTTTTTCTGCCACGTTATTGCTTGCTGCATTTCTCACCTCGATCGTGAGAATCGTGGTGACGAGGGTAATATGAAAACAGTTCCAGGTCTCTTACGAGTACAGGGGGAATTGTGTGAGGGAAATATGAAATGACAAACCGAGGCAAGTGAACTTGTTAATTAGTAAATAAGTAAATATTAATATTTAAAATTAGAATAAAAAGAGGCATTCCGGCGTTTTGTCGCTGCTCGATCGTTATAACATTTTTAACGTCCTTGGTACGTGAATAACAATTTTGCTTTGCAATATACTAAACATCTCCGTGGAATTATTTCAAAAAGAACATTTTTAATTAAGTTTTTTTCCTTGATTGAATAATGCTGGAATGAAGTCAGTAGGAGCCACAATATACGATGACCTCCCTTTAAAAAGATTACAGTGTAATTGAAAAAAGAAAGTAATCACTGATGCAATAACACGTGTAAAAAATATAAAATACCAGACAATCATAGTACCTGCCACTCTTAAAAACACTACACATTTTAGGAAACTATTTCATGAACGTGTAAATAAACATGTTATTTTTTCTTTTCATAATTATTAAATTAGTTTTTATTAAAATTTTATTAATTTATAAATTACATTTTAACAATTTCAGTACATAAAATACTCCATCACATTTTTAAGGCTTGACAGAGAAGTTGACACTGAAAAAGTGAACCTTCTTTTTTTTAGTGTATCAGTAGTATTATTTACTTACAAAAAACCATTACAAATGTTCTGATACTTTTGGTTTTTGTCGATGTGGGCACACTACTCTCTCTTTCTCTCGCCAGGAAATAATTCTTCCATCCTAAATCGCAAATACACAGCCACGATTCACTACTATTCGTATCTTCTAGAATATTATTTTGTAGATAACTTGAACAGTAATACGTGTTTATTGCAAGAAAGGGAGGAAGAATTTATTGCAAGTAACGAAGTAATGAAGGAAGCATTGAAATACGTTTTTAAGATCAAATTAAATTATTTCTCAAACGTGTTTAATGCGCACAATTTAATTATGTCAAAATTTGGTATAAAAGACATTTTAACACTTTGCGCTAAGCGATGGAATTTCTTTGCTGCGTTTCCAAATATAAAATGTCCCAAAACGTAAAGTGAATGTGTCTGCTTTTCCTACTCGAAGTCTCCCCCACTGAACACGAGACGCTAAAGGAGCTGTAACGATCCTCGCTACTTCGTTTCATTTACAAGCTTCGCCATCAAGGGAAGTGTCGTGGTGATGAAAGTCGTACTTGATTATTGATCGTGAGCGAGGCAAGAGGTTTTCACATTCTCGTGTTCTCCCTTCTCCTGAGCAGGCAATCACTGTGACTGTTTGCAATTGTCATCCACTAGATGGCTGAAGGTGATCACTTTTTTGAAAAATTTGAAATTGTCCGAGGGGCTTCATGTAAAGTATCACCCAAATTTAAATATCAGTCTCAAATTTCAAAGACCGCTACATCAGCTAGATCGATTGATCAGCTAAATCAATTTAAAAGAAAATCGGCTGAATGGTTTAGCCGCTAGCGTTGCCCACAGGCGGACGTAAAGACGGACGGACAAACTGACATTTTGCCGTCAATCAATTTTTCAGTATCAAGAACCGACAAAATATGAATTCTGGCTACAACACGTTAGATGATTTTTTTTCTAAACTAAGCAACAGGATTTATCTTCTTTTTCGTTACACGAGCTCGGTTATAAGATTTCAAAAATTCTTCCTCCGGTACACGATTACAGAACTTTCTCTTCTTACGAAGAATTCGTAAGGCGAGAAAGTAAAAAAAAATGAACTGTTAATTCGGCCGTGTAATTTTGTGAGTTAAGTGAAACCCATACACCTCGTTGTAAGTTTTGCTATGTCCACAAGTTTAACATTTTTCATTTTCATATATTTTTAATTCATGTCTACTTTCATGACTGTAATATGTATGCTGTCTTTATAACAAATTCTAATATATTGAATTTGTCTGGGTATGCGAGTTTCATTTCCATCTTGAAGATATTATTCCAGTTTTAGAATATTTGGCTGAGGTAAATTGCAAGGTAACACCAAATTATCTTTACGAAGGCTAAAAGATGGAGCTGTGCAAGCAATATTTCCGACGCACCCGGCAGACTTGCCTTTTGAAATATCATACCGAGTAGACCCCATACACTATTCGACTAAAACTCTTCAGTGTGCATATATTCGTATGTGCGGTTTCGTCACTCATGGCTAGACCACTTCCCGTGCACCAATCGAGACGTATGAGGTGTCATTCTACGCATGTCTGTCTCCTAATGAGGAACTGATAATTTATTTTCGCTGAATATTCCATAATTTTCTTTCACTTTGGCAACACTAATGTTGACATCTTTAAGTGAACAAGTGAATCGTGCTGCAAATCGCATTAAAATTTTGAATCGATTTTCCGTACTTTTAAAAATAAATTTGCGAAAACCTGCGAACAGTATTGTCTCAAAACTAATTAAACTTGAAGAATTTCAAATGAATACGGAGAAAACAAAACTGTGAGTATTGCGGGAATGAAAAAACGTTCTTATGTTCGACTTCTCACTTTTACGTTCTTACATACTAAGTGTGCAAATACCGATTTTCAAATAAACGTGACCCACAACTTATTCTTCTTAAATTTACCTTAAACTACTTTACTCACATAAATATACAAAATAGTCGTATTTTAATGTTAGATTCGCATGCAACACTGGATTCGCAAGGAAAACGATTAATAGAGCAATTGCAGATGTGGAAGTGAACACAAATTAAACTGAGTTTGTTTTAATCTCTTGCAAAATTAGAGGAGAAAAATATGGAAGTGTTAAGGAAATCCTGGGAAGAATCAAATGTATTTGTAAGAGATGTTGCGACAGAATTTTCGAAACTAATTGGGAATGACCTGCATTTTAATATTTAGCATTTGTGCGAATGTAAAAGTGCTATGTGGATTTTTATTAATTATAGCAAGAAAGCGTAAAATTGTAGCTGTACTAAAATTTAACTATTAGCATCTTCAAAACCTACAAGTATTTGCTACGGCGATTATAAGTTTAAAATTGCAATAAGACCAGTACATATCTCGTGTGGCGGTAACATAGAAGGCTATTGAGAGTTGGGAACTTATGAATAGGAGTATAACAGTCTCAGATGATTCTTTGGTACGTCCAATGCCAGATACTGAAGGAACATATTTGAACGAACCTGGGCATGAAAGAAATGAAGTATGAAAGATTTTTTTTTTCATTTACCTCAATTAATAAATTTGGTTTCTGAATAACAAACACATTCATTTAATATTATGTACCGTGTACTCCATTATTTTTAATTTGATCGTGTTAATAAATAATATGTGACAAAAAATGGAGTTGAGTTTTTCTATTTTAAACCACTTCTACTGAAGATGTTTGAGATTTCCAAAGTAAGTTGTAGAAAATATGTAGCAAGTAATTTGTTCTGCTGGATAATTTTAAGATGGCACCGACTCTTTTCGACTTAATAGCCGTGAATATAAGTTAGAGTATAAGTGTTTTACCTGAAATCAAAAGTAATGTAGTTCTTAAAATTTTCAAATACGACGTGTGTCTTTAGTTATTCAATATTTACAAGTTTTCATCGAACATCTATTTACATTTAATTTCTTCTATTATAGCGAGGTATTCTCGACCAGACAAAACGTTTTTTTTTTTTTTTTATTTTAAATGGAGGAAATTAATTTTTCTTACAGCTTATTAAATAAGTCTAATAATAGTAATAATAATAATAATAATAGTAATAATAATAATAGTAAATATCATAATAATAATAATAATAATAATTTTCTCAAGCATTATACTTATTTTTCTTGCATTGAACGTACAGAGAAAACTTTTATCCAAACATTTTGTGATACAGGCAAACGCCGATGCAGCAATAGGTCTCAATGTAACGATGTCATTGGCTTGTACTGACGCCTTGCGTAGAGGCTGTATTGCAATATTGCGAAACCAAATTTGTACCAAACACTTTGTCAATTATTCAATAATTCATAAGCATTAGATGTGTCCGAATTTGTAACCACAAAACGAGCAGATTTCCAAATAACATAGTACAAGTCACGATTCCATCGAAACAATAACCATCCGAGGTGGCTCAGGGCATCAATTAATGTCACTACAGTGCCTCTCACTGAGGTGTCCTAGCGTTTGACGCCTGACGGTGCACCGCGGTGGCAAGATTTTCGACACAGCTGGATAGGAAGGTCGAATTCAACCGCTGTCTGGAAGAACTTTCTGGCGGCCGGCTGTTCTGATCGGTAGTTTTCCGTCGTTTCTCCGATCAACACCTGGCGAATACCGAATAACAAATGGGTCACGGGCCGTGCGCGATCTTTCCTTTCTCTTCCTTGGCCAACCTCATCCCTTACTTTCACACACTTACACGCCCTACAATATCACACTTGTCGGCAGATAGGCCGGAAACAAATCTTGTCTCGACTGGGGCGGTGCCTCGCTGGTTCCCTCGTATTCCTTCCGCTGAAACGCATGGTCCGGGGTCACTGTCTTGTAATTTTACCGCCTGTGCCGCTGGCTGTTGGAAATCTCGAATTCATCTACATGTTGCCCAAGACCCTTCTATCGCTATTGCGCTGGCCTCGAATGAGAATCCGACTTCGGCTTAATATCACAGTATTCGTAAGAAAAATAATCCATTCACTCGGCGTATTGTTTTTAAAATTTATTATAAAAATGATTTCGGACTTTTGCACCCCTCAAAAATGGGAGATGGTCTTGCCTTGCATTGACACAGTGATGTTTATTACGTGTAAAACAAAAATTTGTACAGCACTACAGTAATCTATCATTGATTTAACATGATCTTGTTATTCTTACTTACATGAAAAGAAAAAAAGTCACTCCTTTTGAATCTCAATGGCTCTATCATCTATCAAACACAAGTTCCGTTCTTCTTGCATAATGAATTTAACACATACTTGAACATAATAATTGTTTCGACACATTATTGGATTCTTTACCAATGTTATACAGGAAAGTCTCCGCATCGATTCGGATCAGAGGTTCCTAATAAAAACTGCCTTTATGTTAAATGCAACCAGACCACACGGACAAGTGAGGGGACAACACTCCTAGAATCTGTTAAGGCCCGTTTTCACGGTTGCATTATGTCATGAGCATTTCGCGTATTTCTCGGTTGTGCCGCTAGATGTCGCATGATCGCGTCCGCATCAAGCAGGGCTTTATAAAAAGTCGCGATCATGCGACATCAAGCGGCACGACCGAGAAAGGTGCGATATGCCTTGACATATTCCATCGTTAAAACGAGCCTCTATGATTGTGGTATGTGCGCAATTTATGTTTTCATTTGTTACAAGTCGCAGTTCGTGCTACCATCATATTTTTGTTGTCAGCACACTGATCAGCCAGTGTGGAGAGACTATCCTGCCGCTCTATACTTCTTCGCTTGGTGTGTACAGTATCTTCGTTTACCCCTCTCGTTCAAGTAACACACATCTTACACACGCTTACATCTGACTTCCTAATGTACGTTACAAGCATTTACTTGAATTTTTCGAAACTATTTTATTATACTTAAAAAAGTCCGGAGAAGAATGTGAATCGCTGGCTTGCAGCTGATCAGCATCAGCCTACCAACGTCCCATTTTTTACATCCACTTATTTTTTTTCGTTGAATAAAGAATAGTATTTGAGTAACCTGCGTCTCTCCGTTCATCCACCAATGGAGACAAATGATATGTCATTCGACGCGTCTCTGTCTCGTGGTAGGGGACTAACGATTTGTCTGCGGATCCGTTCTGAAGATTGTAAGAAATTTGTAATATAGTGTTTTTGCGTTTTTTAGCGTTCCGATCTAGCGGAGGCCGCGCTAACCCCATGCCCCAGCGCAATTCTCTATTGTAGCTGTTGTGACAGCTAAATGTGTCAACCCGTACCCACGCGATGAAAAACAGGTCGCAAGTTTAGAGCGGTGCAGATCTTGTAACGAATCATTCGGAACGAAAAGGTTTACCGTCAACGTTGCCACGTATGTTAATTATCGTCTTGATTTATAATTTTGTTATATGTAGCGTATAGGATAGTGATAATCTCCTTTTGTACGATAATTTATATTGTAATATAAATATATCAGAATGGAAGGTTGTATTGTAGAATATGAGCGTGCAAATATACAGATTTTCTTTAATAAGTCACCTGATTATTTATTGAAAGAATGTACTCTTCAGAACCACCTCTCTGGGAGCGTTCGGATACGGTTCTAGAGCACAGTTCTCTGAAAAGTGTAGTGGCCGTAGCCCGAAACAACATACGACAGAAGTTACGACCACATTTTATTTTTTTTTTATTTTGTTAGCATATTACTTTACTTTAATTAATATATTATTTTTACGTACTTCACACGAGAATGAAAGAGCCAGACAGATTTGTAATGCTCGTACACATGAAGATATTTTTAAAACATTTTAAATCGTCAACGACGCCACATTCAGATAGTATACAACGCATATAATAGTAGCCAACTACATGGTGAAAGCATCCATACATTCATTACACACGACTCGAACCCGGATCCTTCTGCTCTGCGTCCTTGGACGCTGCTTGAATTCTCTGCAACGCCAAATCTGCAGAAAATATGTGCAAAATGTAAACTACTGGTGATACAAAATGGAACAGATTTTTTTGTATTTTTTGATTCCCTTTCATTTTGAGTCGGGGCACGCTTTTCAGTTCGGGGGGGGCAGCGCCTAACTGACCTACCATTTCCTTGGAAACATTCACGGTGAAAAGCACCTCCGCTCTCCCAAACATTGCGTAGTCCAATCACGGCACTGTAGCAATACACAAAAGCCTATGGTGTTCCATATATTCCCGTCTTTTATCGCAGATTTTCCAGAGATTAAACTTTCAGAGCTGGCGACTTTAGGGGTTGTCCCCTTTTCGGGGCCACTATTGTAATGAAGCATACAAGGGGTTACAGCGATGTTTCACTCTCTCTCTCTCTGTACCGGCCATTGTGTATATAAATAATAAAAATGAAGAGCGTGGGGTGTGTATCAAAATAATACACATGACGTTCACAGTTTCTATAAATAACTGTAAAAATACAAAAATAAGAGGACATTGAACAGTTTCAGTACAAGTGTCCAGATGGTATGTGCTTATCAGTTACGAGAATGATTATTGAGAGCCATTACTTGGTAATTATTTGCAAATTCGTTGCAGGTCTCATATTAATACAACTGTTATGCAATAGCAAACGTTTTTACTTCAACTAATAAAATATTTTTTAATTTCTAATTGTTTCCGAACTATGCCACATTGCCCATACCTGAAGGCGGCTCCACACATTCGGCGGGTAGCGAGCTACTGCTCGCCCAATCCCAGCCAGCTGATGTTCGGCGAATTTTCGCTCCCTTTGATGTGTCCTGAAGCCCGTCAAGCAGTGGGTAGTGCGAATACCGAATGTTCGGCGCTTCGCAAGGAACCCGTCCACACTATTCGCCGAATGCCGCATGTGTGGAGCCGCCTTAACGCGCAGGTACTGATAGGACAGGAATAATTTAATTAATCGCGGTAAATTGAAAAACTTGCATACTAAAACTCATTCGATAGATCTACGAAACGGACATCTGTATATGAAACACCTATATATTGTTTGTAAGTGCATCTATACTAATGAAGTTACACTTATAGTGTTCTCCATTGCCTTGATATTCAAACGCGGACCATTTTGAAAAGATGGAGGAATACGAATAGCTGAATTTGCTATAAGTAGAAATCTGGTTTACAGTCGTCTGAAGCTCCCAGCTGTGCTGTACTAGCTGTTTAAATAGGCATTGTAATTTTAAATTTCACTAGTAACTCATTACATTGCTTTTGCTCGCGAAAGCCCATGCGATGAAACCTTCAAAATGGCCACTTCTATAAAGTGATCACCTCTAATAACGGCCATTCGTTCGTGGAACCGATAGGTTTTCCCATAATACTACAAACATTCCCTCTTTTAAGCGGTCACCAGGCCCAGCGGTCAGCGGCAATTTAGCTTGAACTGCGTTTGACGATCAAAATTTCCTGATGAATTTGCGATTTTGATCCGTAACGCTAAAAGAACAGCAAAACTGGCGATGTTTACCATTCAGTACTGAGATGTTTAAATGCACTTGAGATGTTTAAATGCACTGATGCAAATATGCTTCAAGTAATTTGTACTTTTAGTGTTATTAAAAATGTAACTACAAAGAAAGCATTAATAGACAGACCTAATCTCTGGTTTCCTCTACCTTGTTACCTAAATTAAGCAGTCACATGTGATCGTGGAAATTTTTCTCTGGAACAATCAGTGGCCAATACAGGTTTCAATGTCTTTAAACACCATGAAGGCAAAAGTGTTTGTTACTTTCAGAGGTGTATGTTGAAAGTAGGTGGTAGTAAATATTTACACAAACATATAGAACTTTCTAGATATTGAGTATGTATGTTTTTCGCATATGAAAGTTGAAATATTTGAGGACAGATTGTCGGGTCTACTTTCAAGAACTTTTCATTCATTTCCTATGGTAATGTGTTAAAATAAGAACTCTCCTCCAAATTCTGGTCAGGTTATTGTAGAAAAGCCATCAATATTATCATCTCTATAACGAGGGAAAAATTATTTTTAAAAAAGCCTCCAGAAAAGGATCATGAGAAGAAAACATTTAGCTCAAATGGCTAGTAACCATTCTATATGACATAAGTTTTAATAAATCAATGGTATTCTCATTTGCGTAGATTACACACATCTTGGCTATTGCAAATCATGACGAGTGTACCTTAAATACAACATCCAATGTGATGAGGGTTACACTACATTGGAACGCTAATATCATGACGTTTCTGATTCTCCCATGTAAATATACAATTACTTTTACTTGCCGGCTTCACATAGTTTTCATATGTTCTTAAGTGTATTTTGTTGTAAAAAAATTTTGTTTACAATGTTATTCATACCATTACATCTTGCAAAAATCCCAATTAACTTGTTACCCTACGCTATTGCATTATTGTCAATACTCAGTTCAAAATACTAAATGTTTTCATTATACAAAAGTATTTAATTGGTTGTTCTTGATCAGAACGTGCCCTACTTTTTGTAAAACTATTTTGTGTGATTTTGATAAGCAAAAAGGGTTGTGCTTAGGAAACCCTTGGTAACTTTCATGAATTGCTCTAATTACAGGTTCACAAAATTTTGAAATTTCTTAAACTTACTATTTGTTTTACATCATGAGCTTTTCAATGTCTTACTCCGGCACAATGAACTGTTCATGATCACCATCAAGTTGGGTATTTTCCGCATAAAAAATTGTGGAAAAAAACAACAACAAAACAAACAATATGTAATGATAGTAATGAATGATTCTTCTCAAATATTTTCTCAGGGCTGTTCAAGTCACGTGAGTAGAAGTTTATAACACGGTACAACTTAAGGATGTCATTTAAGCAAGCACTTCACTGTGCTCCAGTAAGGGGAAAATCACCATGTAATTTTATACCCCAATTGCTTGCTTCACAATATCAATAGTAACTTGTAAAACACACAAACTGCAAGAAGAAAATACTGAACTGTCTTTCACACATCTACTATTATAAACAATATCACTAAGGAATTGGCTGCTTCAATATTCCAATTCACAATACTGATAATGGAACCTAAATAATGGTTATATAAGGTTTCTCAAAAGCAAAAGTTCTCATATTTTAAAATCAAAATGTTATCTGAAACATAAATAATATATATTTAGAATTGATAACAATAAACAAACAAAATTCAATAATCAACCACATTTCCCAATCCCACAGCACTTTTCCTCCTTGGGCGGTTTGTGATTAGGCGTCCACGGACCCAAGCTGTCATTTGCATAAAAATCCATTGGGTAGCTCTTTGACTCGGAAGCTTCCCACTCAGCTTCCTCTAAAACAACAGCTGCTTCATATGGAGTTAGAAGAGGTCTTCGGAAAGCTCTACCCCAATCAATGGACAGTCGGGGACATGCTACTTGAATGAAGGCTCCTACTGAAGGAAACTGCTCCAATTTTTCTGGCAGAATTTCAGAAAGTAGAATTATGATACTCTTCTTGTTAAGTTTTGTTAATCGATCCTGCAAAAAATTCAAATGTGTCAGGAATTCAGCTCATAATTCGCATGCTAAAAAATAAGTTAATAGAAAATAATATTTATTAAAACTCTAAAATATGTGACTTGCAGGGATCTGAGCACATATTTTAAACTACACGAACTACAATTTTAATGTACCAATTGATATTTTAAATATGCATAGTACTTCTAAAATATCAACAACAAAAATTCATTATACATTTTTTTTTCCATTGACAAAATGTAAATTTTACATTAATTTTGTAATCCCTGCTTAACAATAAGTGAATAGTAATTAGAAATTATCTTATCTCGGTATTGCGAATTTTCAAAAACAACAAGTTATTAGTACAAAAATATTCCTTATAGCGTTCCTTATGATTCATTAAAATTAATCCTTTGCAATTCATCAACAGTTGTTTTTCGAGCAGTCTTCAGTCTCTAATGTGGTTTGTAAGTACATTAAAGAGAAAAGTACAAATTGATCAATGTTATCTTCATATTTCTTACTTGAATGTGCTCTAAAACTTTCATACTGCCTTGTCGTCCCAAAGTTCCAAGAATCAAACCAAATTCTTGAGCATTTTTTGCTTCCATAATTGAATGCTTTCGAACTGATCTCATTTCATCATGGTCATACATTTCTTCAGTGAACTTTTTTTCATAGGGATCGTATCTGAAAGAAATTCATTACACAACTACTACACACATTTACCCCATACCCCCATTCACTACAACTACATTTACCCCATAAATCATGTTTTCATAACTCTTTAATTGAGCCTTACCTGTAAGCTCTCAACTTCGGATTTGCGATCATCATTGCTTCTAAGTGGAACCTTCCATCTCCTAAATAAATTAGAACATCAGCATTTTGCACAATAGGAGCTGTGCAGCCAAGAATTTCTCCAGGGGATAATGGTCGGCACTGTGGTACAATCACTTCATAACCTTGCTCCTTCAATTCTCTAGCAGCAGCTTGAAGACTTGCTGCAAACTGTATGGTGCTCACTAAGCACAATCGCTGCGACTTATCAAAGTTATGTTCAACAGTATCAATGAAGTGAAGAGCATCAATTTTAATGTCCACAAAAATGTACAGAACTTTAATTCCAGAAGTTTGGTCAATTGGGATAAGACAGCTATGGCCATAATGTACAAGGAGATCCACATTTAGGGCTTTTGCTGTAAAATCATCCACACAACACGCACCATATGTTACATCTCCCATTATGACAGTGTCAGCTCCAGTAAAATGTTCAATAATGTCACTAATAGTTGTGGCAAACATGAGCAATCCCTCTGGCATCTGAAGGGCGACGCGCTTTGCTTCAACTTGTTTAATACGCCAAATAGTCTTTGGTATTTCAAAATTGTAGTTTTGTGGAAGAGCTTGCACAGGAGGAAACGAATTCACTTTCTCCATTAAATCTTCCGGAATTCTATTAATTGATTTAATGGGACCCCGAAATATTCTGCGTTCTTTCGAAGCTTTAGCTACCACCATTTTTGAGTTCTCCGTGTGACTGGGACTATCGGGAGTACTGGATTCTCCCTGACACTTCTTGTCGGATTCATTAGTATCTTTCTGCTGGCTGTCATTCATTTTTACTTCAGTACTTAACACACACTTCACTAATATTTAAACATAAAACATCTATGATTACACAAATCTCATAACTACTTGACACGGAGAATCTCTAGATAACGTTCTCACTTCTCTCTCAGCCTTCTCAGTAAAGTGTAGTACTAGTAACGTGTTGCAAGGGCGGCGCCATGTTGTTCACTGCCGCCTGAGCCACCCGAGCGCATTGTGGCGCATTGCCTGACAAAAACATCTTCATGCGCACCAAAGAGTAGATATGCGCACAAAACAGCTGGTGCCACGTGATAAACCAAGAGAGTTATGAGAATAAACGTCAGCTCTCATTTCGCTAGATGCGAAGAGTGGGAGAGAGTGTGTTTGGACACCAGGATTATTATATCACCCCTAAAGCATATTTTTATTTGAAAAATAATTTCTATTATATGAGAGCGAATATTTCTAGTATTTAAGTTTTGGTAATAACGCTTGTCGCTGACATTTATTCTTAATTGAACTAATGTTAGTAAAGGAGTGGGGGAGAGAGTTACAGAAAACGTTCGCGTATTATTTCATAAGCAGGCGCACAGATAAGAGAAATGCGAAGGAAAATATAATTGTCTAAACAATAAAAAAAATCATTTTCTTTCAAATTATACTTTTTCTTTTGACATTAAACCTGCTTCGAGAATAAGCATGTGTACACGAAGACGTAATATAATAGTGGAAGCTTCAAGCAGCTTGAAGTTTATCTCCCAGCTATCAGTTCTTGGGATTCTTCAGGTGTCGCAAGAGAATTGTGTATGATAATTAAAGAGTGCGACCGAGAGCAAGAGTAGAGAACACGAAGTCGCTTATAATGAGCTCGAGCACTGCATCTCCCCTATATCTGACAGATGAAGATGTTAAAAAATTTCTGCAATGGGACACGTTAATTCCAGTCATTGAAACAGCTTTGAAAACTGTTTCACAAACTGTTGAAACGCCACTCGTAGTACAACCTCCACGCACAATTATGCCTGTTCCTGACAAAAATGGGTAATTTTTTTTAACTGACCACATTGGCAAATAACAAAAGTTGAAACATGACTGTGTATTTCAATTCTAGAGTCTTGCTTACAATGCCAGGCTTCAGTAAAAATGATGATGCATTAGCATGTAAGCTTGTAACATCATTTCCTGACAATGCTCAGAAGGGAATGGCATCAATATTTGGCACAGTTTTACTCTTTGATACCAATACTGGAAAAGTACAAGCGGTATGAAAATAATTATTTGTTATGTATTTCACAAGTATGAAATTCTGTGTTGAAGTTCTAAAATGCTAACAGATAATGGAAGCCAATGAGATTACTGCATGGCGTACTGCAGCAGCTTCTGCTGTTGCCACAAAGTACTTGCATAAAGGAAGCGACATTCTTGCAGTTCTTGGCTCAGGTGTTCAAGCTCGAAGTCATATAAATGCTCTGACACATCTTTTAAAGTTTAAGGAGGTGAGAAATACTTTATAATGATTCTAGATATCAGAATGAATTATTATTTTCTTCTAGATTCTGATTCAAATTATTTCTAGATAAGAGTCTGGAATCATAATCAACACGGTGCCGAAAAGTTAGCTGCAGAATTTCATGAGCTTGGAAAATGCATCTCAGTTTGCTACAGTGCAGAAGATGCTGTAAAAAATGCAGATGTGATTGTAACAGCTACCTATGCATCATCTCCAATACTGAAGAGGAAATGGATCAAAAATGGAGTTCACATAAATGGTACAGTACATGCAAATGGTGCAATGTATCAATGTATTTTCACTGCAGCAAAATATTAGTGAAAAACAGGAGTATGCTGTAGAAAAATAACAAGAAATTGCCCCTTAGTCTCTCTCATGTAATAGAGGAATTTACTCTACCAGTTTTTGTTTTTAATTGTCAACTTTTGCTTAATCTGCTTTTCAAGGTCTGCCAGAGCAATATCTTATTCACAATTTTTTGGTCTTTTGTAAAGTTAATGTTTGTTTTGTTAATTTGCATTGAATTTTACATTTGACTAATTATTAATTTTTCATTTGCATTGGATAAAGTAGTTTTTTGATGTCTCTTGTAAATGACATAGTAGGCTTTTTCATCTTTCAAACCTTTGTTCTACAAAAATAAAAAATAATAATAAAAAAAGATTATATATATATGTAAATATTCTTATTTCCTAAAAAAAAAAAGAAAAACATCACTGAAAAGGAGTACATTGTAAAAATTTTACTAAATTCCTTAAATTTAATCTTTTTTTAAATTTTTTTTTTTATATTCAGCAATGTTACTGATGTCCTTTTGTCTCTTTACAATCATTTAATCCTTTTTCCTGAGATCTGGATTTTCTTAATTCTATCAAATAATTTTTCCTTCATTAATTACTATTATTTTGCAGCTGTTGGAGCAGGAATTAATCACCACAGTGAACTAGATAAGGAGCTCTATCAAGCAGCATCTATTTACACAGATACAATGCCAGCAGCTCAAATTGAACTGAAAGGTTTAGCAGATATTGAAGTGTCTGTTTTGGGAGAAATAGGAGAAATCATTCAAGGAACAAAGCATGTACCACGAGAAAATATCACAGTATTTCATTCTTTAGGTATGTCAAGATACTTACATAACAATATTTACCATTTATGTTTGTGAACAATGACAAGATTATAAATGAGTCAAAATATGCTAAATATTAATCAGATAATGCCTGAAATAGTTAATAATTGCAATATTGATTTCCTAAATTTTCAATAAAACTTAAAAATATTAAGAAATTTTGTAGATATCAGAAAAGAGCAGCAATTATTTACGACATTACTTTCCAGGAATGGCAGTTGAAGATGTAGTGACAGCAAAATTAATATACGAACAATATAAAATGAAAAATTAACCTAGCACTTTGTCACTGCACCATCAGCAAAATTGCTACTCTCAAAAAATTACACTATCTTCATCCCTTGAATTGAATTCTCCAAAGTCTGCAAACAAGAAAAACATTTTAATTAAGAATAAATGTAATTAAATAGAAATAATTTTCATGTTATAATAACAAACTGATTGACTTTGTCTCATGTTGAAATTAAAATGAGGTATTTAAAAAGTTTATTATTTTATTCAGGAAAACAATTACTAACCTGAAGATCCCATATAACAAGTTTCCCATCTAGGCCACTGGTGCTGAAGCGAGAAGCATTTCCTTTAGTTCCAGCATACAGACATACACATGTGATTGCATTTTGATGAACTGTCTCTAGAGTAGTGTCATTTGTTTCAATCCTCGCTTGACGATCTAAGCTCTGGAATTTTCTCATTGCACTAAGAACAAATAATAGGAATTTTAGCAACTATATGCACTTTTTATATTTGCTTTGAAGAGTGCCATTGGTCTCATTTCTCCTACCTCTAACTTTAAGAATTTCTGAACCAATTAAAATTGTTTAGATGCCAAAAATAAAAAGTGAACATTAATTAATTCTGTTGGGATATTTATTCAATTACTTGCTTATTCTTCCTACCTTAACCCTCCAGCCTCTTTTTTCTGAGACATATCAAGTTTGCAGTTAAGATATAACTGTCCAGCTTCATTCACAGAATACAGCATAGGGCAGCAACTATGACCCTAAAATTTCAAAATCGAATATAAGTAGAAACAGTAGCAATAGTCTTGGCATAGAATGTCAATTTGAATGTACTTACAGCAGCAACTAAAGAATTGCGTCCAACCCAAACACAACTTAAAAATGGTAAAAATTCTGTGCGCAATTTGGTCACAGCCATTTGTCGGGTCGCATCAGCAACAGATACTGATGAATCATGACCAACCCAACACACCTTGTTGCCATCTCCAGAGAATGCAACACTGTGAACCCAGCCTCCTACAAATAAATAAGTTATGATTATTTTTAAATTATTAAATAAACTTAATTTCAAGCTTCATTCAAATTCTCTTTTTATTTTGTTTTCAATAACTTTCAGACACGAATGTGGCTGAACAAAAATTATTAAAAATTAATCAAATAATTAAGTTACATTTGAAAAATCTTTTCAGTATCCAAATTGCATGTGTGAGTGTGTAAATTGAAACACACACACACACACGTGCAAAAATTGAAACACACATTTATTGGTTCCAAAAACTGTGTATTTACAAATTTGTTATACATGTTACAGCTAATGTCCAAATCCAGCTAATTTGCCATTTTGTTGGTTCAGGCTCATATGATAGAAAAAGGGTTGATAAAATCTGAAGTAGAAACATCTTTAAAGCACACTTCAGACTTGAGGTGCACTTTGCCAAAGTGTCATGGCTAGGGTCAGTACAGTGATGAAGAATAGCAGATAACGTGTGATCAATAAGGATCAGATTGGAGGTGGAAGTTGCTAAGGTTAGTGAAAAACCAAGTTTGTACTTTCAAATTCTACTGAGACAAGTCTTTAATTTATGTTTACTCAATACCATCTAACCTAACTTCACTGTTTTTTCAATTTTGGACAAAGGAAGCTCAGGCGTTTACGATTTACATAAAACATTTTAGTGTCTGTGCAATGTTTCCAACTCATTTTTATACCAAAATTTTTCTCTTGAACACACAAGATCCCTCATACTCAGGACAATAATCTTATGTTAGCCAGCACTATGCAGCTAATGACAACATTAAGCTGCAACCACACAATGCATATTTCTGTTCCATTTTGCATATGCTCCTGATGCATGCAATATGACAGGAATCTTTTCTGTCCTATTGCAGTCCGAGCCATCAGGCTCGCTCTTCTGTCTCACTACGCAAATTTCGCTACGTTCCTTTTATCAACTAGCGGAGAAAGGAGGTATTTCTTGGGCGACGAACAGGTGATTTGAATTTAGCTCAGAGGCGTCATTTAGGTTTGAGGATCTTTAACGTGCCAGTAAATCTACCAACATTGGGCAGCTGGCTTTACTTCCCCTCCGAAGGAAGGAGTATGAAGGATTTTTCCACCCTTAAAAATCCACAGCGTCAACCGGGTTTGAACTCGGCAACTTGGGTATAACAGTCCAATACGCTAACCATTTCACCATCGCGCCGACAATAAATGCAAAAGATAAAAGTAAAATGCTCCCCACAGGAGACTGCATTCTGAATAGCAAATGTGAAAAGATACTGACGTGTGAGACAGACACATGCTCACCTAAGCTCTTGAATGGAAACAACACAGAAGCAAGACAGTAACAGCACCTTGCTGTCACCACCTCTGCTGTCTCGGCGTGCCAAGCACGGCTGTTTTGAAAGGTGCCAAAGTCATGCATTTGCCAAATTACCAAAACAAGAACAAGTGCTCTCAGACAAGGGTTGCGAGTTAAGTTAAAGACCCTGTAAGTTGGGATATACCCAATATTCATGCTTTATTATACCAAAATATTTCATGATATATCACATAATGACACCTTCAGTGAGATTAAAACAAGAATGGAAAATAGGTCAGGAATTGTGTTTATCAACAGACTTCAGGACTTGCAAATGATCCAGGCTAAAATGGGCTTAATATTCCAAAAGTTGAGGATCAGGATTAATGATTAGAAACGCTTGTAAGGAATAAACAATATTGCTGGAAATAAAATTTTAATATTTCATCAAAAGTAAATAATATTCTCAGGAAGGATACAGCAACCAATTATGTCAAGTACCTTGAATAGAAGAAGAAAAGAAAAAGAGGACAGTCAACAGGCTGAAAAATCTAATGTCACAATTCGTTACAAGGGCTTTGGAACAAAAGAAATAGAAATATTTCATGTTGGATTTTGATGTCTTTCTGAACAGATGATTTCAGATTTTGGAAGAGACAGACGTCAGAACCTTTTCAGACTTTAGGAGAAAGGGATGGGAGAATGATATTAGACTTAGCAAGACAACATTAGACTTTGTGATTAGTGACGGTACTTTTGTTAAGCACAAAAAAGTAAAGAGCTTAATTTTATGACTTATGTATCAAGGGATGGACTTGTTTGAACTTTAATGTTTTCATTTTAAATTTGGGAGTGGAATGTTTGGAAAGCACAGGCCATGGTGCTTTAGAAAGCATAGCACTAGGTGTCGTGATAGATATGTCCACCAGTGACATTACTGTGTGATTTATAAACAGTTTTTTCAGTAGTTATAGATTATTTAAATTACATTAGTTAAGTTTGGAAACTTAATTGTCATATTCATATCATTTAAATATTCAAGTATGTGATTAAGAAAGTTATGTGGAGGGGCTACACAGAATTTCGTTACAAAGAGACTTTGAAAAGAAGAGTCCTTAGAGAACTTCAAAGATTTTTTCATACGAGGACTTTGGATCATAAAAGCACCACAAACATCAAGAAATCATTAAGTCATATAATTCACGATAAAGACCAATTTTTGGCCAAAAACAATTCTTAAATTAACATCGCAAACATTTAAAAGACAAGACTGGTTTAATAAGTTTTATTAAGTTCATAACAAACCAAAGAGTACTTTAAAGAAGGTAAACTTTAAAATAAAATCCATGTCATGCTAGTAATATTATTCAAACTTGTTATTTGAAAGATTCTGAGAATACAACTAAGTGATGAATTTGGACATTACATTGCAACAATCTTGTAACACAAAAAAAATTCTGTATTGGAAGAAAAGTAAAAGACTGATTACAATACAAATATTTTAATAAATTCATAGATTTATCATTGAATGGCTGTCTTATTATATATTCCAATCCCGCAAACCCAATTATCAGAATAGCTTAAGTCTCTATGAAACAAATGATCAACCTGCATGAACGATCGTACGTTTTCACATCAGGAAGGCACAAATAATTATTACCTTTTTTTCGTATTGAGGAAACAGATAAAGAAAATCACTGAAATAACATTGATGTATGTTTATCCCAATAAATAATAATAAGAGGTTGAAATAAAATTTAATTAAAGTTGGAGTAAAATGTTTTGATATTGTGCAGAAAACATTAGTATAAATGGAGATACTCTCGTGGCTCAGTGGAGAAGTCGCTGGCCTTTCACCACTGAGGTTCGGGGTTCAATTCCCGTAGAACCACATGTAAAATTTGTTTTGACAAAATGACTTTGCATGCTTCACAAGGGCTAGTCCAACCCCTGTGTAGTGTCCTACACTCTACCCCAATCTTAGTTCCTTCCCAATTCTGGCCAATGAGTGGTGTCATGTAATGTAAATCAATTCATTAAATGCTTTAATCTATTTCCCAAATAAAAGTGAAAAGTGTTTCAGTAAATATAGTAAAAGTGTTTCAAAATCAATACTAAATCAACACAGAAAATACCTCCACATGGAGAGTTGGGGAATTCGGCAAGAAGCTGCCCAAGAGACATCTTCATTCCCCAAGGTGATGGCTGGGGCATTTCTTCAATGTCCTTCATAAATGCGGAAAATATTCGCACCTAAAAACATTGCATATGAAATATGTATTAATATTTACGAGACACATAGTTGATGATATTACCATTTAAGAAAAGAAATAATAAACAATTAGCCAAGTACTAGAATATACAAAATCATCCAAAAAGTATACAAAAGGAAATAAATTCAATCACTAAAATTTAATTAGCAGGTACAAGGTAAATGTTGGAAAGTAAATTTTTTGTTCAGAACGAGTATGCTAGAACATTGCTTTACTACAATTCCCTCATTGTGAATAGGGGGATAAGTTACATTTCAATTTTGCCATTAAACTTTATTGACAAAATTGACATGTCACTTATCCCTTTATACATTACAATGATTGTATTGTTGTAAAGCAATGTTCTGGCATACTTGTTCTGGACAAAACTTTATTTATCCCCTTTCATGCACACCTACCAATTACTTTACAATAACTTTATTGAAGTAGAATTCTACTTCTACATTATCTGTTGGCTGAATCTGCCAAGGTCATCAATGCAAACGAGACCAAATAGTTCATTAACTACATTAATTTTTTGAATTTTTGCTTTTACAGTGAACTGTATTCATGTTAATGTTAGATGAATTCTGCACCTTAAAATCAGCAGATCCCGCAACAAGGAGGACATTGTTGGGATGCCAGTCAAGAGACGTAATTGTAGACCGAATGGGCTTTTTGATATGCTTAGAAACCCACCAGTCATTTTCACTTTCAAAATAACATACAGAAATCAGTCGTGCACCAGAGCCCACAGCAAACTTATTTTCTGAAAACAATAATTAACGAGAAGGAATTATTATTGAGCAACCACTGTTCACAGTTTACATTAAATTTTAAGAAATATTACCTAGTGGTGACCATTTTACGCAAGTAGCAGCACGATTAATACGAAGTAGCACCAATGTTGGTTTCCATTTGCCATCCTCTCCCTGAGACCATACATAAGCATTTCTATCCTAAAACACAAAGAGAAAACTAAAGAAAGTTCTGACTGATTAATGTTAATAAACAATTACATTCATTTCATTAAAATATGAATAAGTACCAAAAACAACATTCAATGCATTTTCGGAAATCTGTTTTACTTCAAATACTAATCTGATAACCTTTTATTTTGGCAGACAACACAATAGATTAATCATGAAAAAAGACTCCAAAAACTTGGGGTCATCTTATAGGACAGATAGAAACAAAAATTTTAAATTATCATATTCCTCATCAGAGGCAATTAATTCCTAAAGTACATCACCACTGCCGTTGTTGAGAAGTTTGTCATATGGGCCCCATTCCTCACTTTTCCTTTATCGTAAAAGTACAATACCTGAATGTGTGAATGTTTGCCAGCAGCCAGTAGCAAGAAATAATGACTGCTAATCTGATAATTACTGCAGACTAAATTCATAGGTCAGCGAGTTTGGGATTGTCTTAAAGAACAGATACATGTTAAAAGTATAAAACCTCAATGAAAATTTATATCTCATCTTATTTGCAGAAAATATGGCAATTGTTACAAAAAAAAAGAGTGGAAGAAGACATATTTGATTAAAATACATAATATAGCAATCTCCATGTAATGACATTTTATTAATTTTACAATACTCATCAAAATAGAAATTACTTTTGTGTATCAATAGGAATTTGATAGGCTTGTAAGATACAGGCATTAGAAATACTGATTAACGGGAGTAAAGGGTCATACATGCCAATAAAATTATTTCTTTATTTTTTTCTACCTGATCTACCACATTATCTGTTAGATTATTTTTGTCACTTTTGATTGGGTTATATAAACTTAATATAACTAGGCAAATGTGAACACAGAAATCTTACCACAGCACAAGTTACAATACGATTGGTATTAGGTGCCCAATCTATGCCCGTAACTCTCAAGTCATGTTGATTTAAAACATCCAAAAGTTTCCAGTCATTATCTACTCTTTGATAAATATGGACTTCATTGTTATTAGGAGACAGAGCAACTTCTGCAAAGGAATAACACAAAACACGTTATTCTGATTTAGCAGTGAGACAGAATTAAATTATTACATGGATAGTAAATTAAACCACCAAATTTTATTGATATACACTCACGAGATCTATCTTTATTCCAAGCATGGCATGTAATAGGGTTGACTCCAAAACTATGTCTTTCAGCCATTCTTTGCCCTCTAATGACAAAAATACATTGTTACAGATTAAACATATTTACTCACTTTGTCTTACAACAAGTTTTACAATTAAAAATTCTCATATCATAGAAAAAGTACTTTTCCGGTCACAGTAGATAAATCGACAGAAGGGAAACGCCCAGCCAGTGTAGATGATGTCATTCCAAATGTTCAAAAGAAACTATGAACTTACCAAAATACAAAATTATCCCAGGAATATTCGCGGACTCTGGTCCGTCAACGCGAATTCCCTGGTTTTTACCTCACACCTGTCAATAAACTCCCCAGTCACTTAACCCAAAACACGCCAATTCAGACAGCACAGCACAAAAAACACCGACAGAAACAGATAACAGTTCCGGCAAAACGTAATAACCGCTCTCTGGCGAGTAATATAGGAAGCTTCACACCGACATGGTCGCCATTTATGAACAAAAATAAGGAAATTAAATTTATTCAATATTACCATAAAACGCAATAACAATAAACTTTTTTCAAATATACGTACGGTAAAGTGCAATTTTTTACAAAACAAGTAAAAAAAATATTTTAATTTTATTGATTTCATGAATTGAAGAACAGCTTTGTAATGTTGGTATCTACTTACGGTTTGACAGGAACCTGCTGAGAAAGTGCGGTCCCGGGAGGGGAGAGGGAGGGATTGAATCGCAGCTGCCAGCAACTGACGAGTGGATCGAGTGGATAGGACGCGCAGAATTGGTGAATGTTTGCTGAGGGAAGTTTCAACGCAAGTTTATAGTGAAAATGACGACTTTGGAAGATAAAATTTTGGGGGAGAAGACTCACTACTATTGTAGTAGTAGCGAAGACGAAAATTCTGACATAGAGGATGAGAAACAACCTACGTCTACACGTAATGAAACACCCACAGTAGAGCCGCCAGGACCTTATAAATGGGAAGGTTCCTCCACCAACACTGGGCCTAAAGGAGTAGTTAAAGATTGGCAAAGATTCAAACAACTGGAATCAGAGAAAAGAGCCGAACAGGAAAGGGAACGGCTAGAATTAATTCAAAAGTTGTCGTTCACATGCAAGTCGGCACTGGATGAAGAGAGAGATAGGGAACGAGAGGAAGATCCAGAAATTGCTGAACTTCTTACCGATGAATTTTTATTGGAATATCAGAAGCAGCGCATGCAAGAAATGTTATCACAGATGTCGACTCTTCCACGTTTTGGTAAAGTAATTGATTTGGCAGATTCTCAACAATTTCTAGATGCTGTTGATAAAGAAAATAAAGCTGTCACAGTAGTGATTCACATTTATGAAGAAGGTGTACCAGCTTGTGAAGCAATGAATGGTTCTTTAATTAGTTTGAGTCAAGATTATGCCCAGGTTAAATTTTGCAAAGTGAAAGGTTCTGTGGCAGGTGTAAGCAGACTTTTCAAAATTAATGGTGTTCCAGCACTTCTTGTGTACAAGGCAGGTTCACTTATGGGCAATTTTGTCAGAGTAAGTGAAGAGCTTGGAGATGATTTCTTTGCTGAAGATGTTGAAAGCTTTTTGTTGGAACATGGAATGCTGCCTGACAAAACCTGTGTGCCTTCTATTATACGAAACCAGAATGAGGATGATGAAGACAGTGACTTGAGCATTGAATAATTTTGATGTGGTCTTCTATGCTTTCAGTTCCTTCATATGTACATTGTTGAATAGCTAGTAAGATTTATTTTTAGAATATTTTTGAAATTATTTTCCTCTGAAGATGAATCTCAAAAGCTCTTGTTATTTTCAGAAGGTAAATATCTCTGTACATCAAAGGTCAGGAGTTGTAACATTGGAATTAAGGCTTCTTTTTTCAAGATTAAATGGACTTTTTTTTTTTTTTCAATTATTTTAATACCAAATATTCAAAATAACAGAAAATGGTGTTACGACTCTTGACCTTCAGGTACAGATTTATCATCTCAAAATTTATCCCACCTACATTTTATTAGGTTTAACTACATGAATAAATTTTTCATAAATATTCACATGTTAAGTATTACCCTTTTCCAAATAATTACAATGTGTTATTAAAAAATATTGAAGTAATGAATTTGTGTGAAAATATACTTTTAATAGTTATGAAAATAAAAGCATTGCTCTTGTAGTATGCTAAGTAAAATTATTTTGAAGGCAATATTGTTTGTTAGTGTCTCTGTTGAGATGAATGTTTGTTAGAGAGTTATTGGCTCTTCTGTGTCAGACTTTTGTCTTGTGTTGATTTCTCTAAAGGGAAAAATAATTCAACAATTGCTTTATAATTGTGATTTCTATAAGCAATGTTGACTGGGAAACAATTTAAAAGCACCAAGATACAAAACTTCCAAACCTTTGCAGATGCATCTATTGTTTTATTCTGATAGTTTTTTAGTTTAATAGTATCAATTTTTTTTTTCCCTCATGGCATTATTATAATTTTTAAAGTCTTTAGACCAAACTTCATTCTAAAGATTTGTAAAATATTTTCTATAATATCTTTATTGAAAGGAAAACAATAAATTGTGAGTTTTATAATGCATTTGATATTTCAGTTTAAAGGAATGCACAGGAAATGTGTCACTTCTGTTGCATGTCCCAGTAAATGGCATTCTCCCTTGAATATTCTGTCTATGTAATATCGTTGGTATTGTAGTCATAGTTTGAGGAAATTTTCAGAATTATATGTAATGAGATTTGATGATGTATTAATCAGTGTTGCAATTGCTTTCAATTATAGAACTTAAAAATATATTTAAAATATTACTATTAAATGGGGGCGAAAAATTGAGACAATTGGGGGTCGTCAGTTGACTTGGTCTCAATCCAATGCAATACTTCAAAGCTGATATTTCTTTACTTAAACTCTCATTATTCAGTATTGTAAGAGAATGTTATATGTCGATAACAAATGCTTATTTAGTTAGTTTCAAGTAACATATTTGTGTGTTGTAGTTCTAGGATGTGTACGTAGTGCCAGTACAGACGAAAGAAATAACTAATTGTTCTTTTATTATAAATCGCATGTTATGCAATGTTTAGAAAAAAAATGAATTGAGCTTAAAGCAGAGCATTCATTTATATTTTCAACATTAGAAATATTGAGTTCCAATAATCTTTTCTTATTGGAAAAAAGAGTAATTTATACATTTACTGCTTTTTAAAAATTTGAAGTTATAAAAAAAGTTTTTAGTTCTATTGTATGCACATTTTTTTTGAAAAATATTAATGCATCTTCTAATTAGTTATGGGGGTTTGAACACACAAGGAACAAGCTTGCTTTTTGTTGTTAATATGTTAATTCAGAAAAGTGCTGAAATTAATTAAAGCATTTCAATCCTTTGTTTGTCAACATTAGAAATGTTTAATAATACTTTTCCACTAAGAGTGAAAACTTTACTGAAATTTTGTGTCGTTCTGTACTTGCCTACTTTTATAATGGAGGGATTTGCCTTTGTTAGTCAATTATATTTTATATTTCTACATACTCTCTAATCCCAGAAACACATTAATTGATGTAAGTCATTGACATGTACCATCCACTTACAACTATACATAAGTGGCTTAAATCTTATTTTCACAAGTGTATGTATGGAAATAAAAGAAAATGTTCAAGAAATGAAGTATTGGATAATGATGTAATGAGGACCCCAAAATGAAAATCATTTTAACTAAATGACTTAAGTAAACGATAAATTATGAATTTCACATGTCTTTTGTAATAGATATTTAATAAAGGGTTTTAGAACTCAGTATTCAAATCAATTGTGAATCCTTGCTTTATATTTTTGAAGAATATTGTGAAATAGCTGGTTTACTTTCTTCTTCTACATTGCTATACATTTTTAAATGCTTTATTGCTGCAGGCATTATCTGTGTAAGGGAACAGAAGGATACTCTCCATTACAAATTGTGCTGATCTTTTCCTAGTAAGTGTGAATTGTGAATCTTGGTGCGTGAATGTGTAATCATTAAGAGAATATTAGAATATACATTAGTCTGTGTGTTTTAAACTTGGGTTGAGGGCACAAGAAAGAGCTTTTAATTTTTTTGTATGTATTCCAATATCACAATAAGGAGAATAAAGCCCTCAGAAATACATTGTACAATTTTAATAACAATGCACTCTAGTCATAATTTTCCTGAAATTGTTTTTTAAAATGTGTTTGACATTTAAGGCATTTATTTTACCTTCTTGCATCTCATTATTTTCGTACTGAATTGGTGTGCTAGGCATAACGGAGATGTAAGGGGCCTATATTATGGTATTCATTATTATTATTATTATTATTATTATATCATTACAATAACTTGCTGTGAATATCAACATTTTAAATTTATTTTTCAATGTGTAAAAGATACAACAAAAATTTGGAACATGAGAATTTATAAATAGTGTGTTGATTTTTGTTATTTTTTCTTTCAGTGTCTATTCTTGCAAGTTGTAAGAGCCTTTTATTTAAATGTTGATTATTACAATGCTAATTAACAATAACAATTGTTGATAAGTCTGAAAAGATAGATAATCATGCAGAGAATTTTGAAATCAGGAATTGGTAGCTAATTTAACACATTTCAACCCTATGTCAAAAAAGAATTCTGATAGTGTAAACTTGTTAGTATTGATGATAGGAGGTTTTGAAGCTCCTGAAAAAAACAAACAAACAAATTTCAGGCTAAATAAAGAATATAGTTGTATACTTAAAGAATGTATACATTGTTAGAAAGTACACATTTATGGACGTAGCTGTGGATAATTTGTAAAAACTTACCACGGTTCTATTTGTCATAGAAACAATTCGCTATTTTAAGACCAACTTTTTATGAGATATATTTTCTTCTATAAGTGTAAATATCTATTGTGTATGTTCTAGTGGGACCTGACTACTGTCCATTTATTGGTTTGTGTACATCATTATCATATCTATGTATGTTGGTTCATGTTAATGTATGTTAAAAGAATATAAATATCTTCATATGTCTATTACGAGTGTTTTATTATATTATCCTCCATTTATTGGCTGTTACCTGGCTTAGTTTGTTTACTCAGTAATATTTAAATGTGTTGACTTATCATCATTAGAAATGAAATAATTACATAATAGTATCATGATGGAACCCAACTTATAACATTTCTGATAAGTTGTGTTTTGGTGTGGAGATATCCTCCAAACATGTGATTGAACATCAAGAAATATGTATATAATTTATATTTTGTTTTCAATATAATATTTAGATCATATTCCTAAATGGACCAGAATTTTATCTGCTCTTTCCCTTTCACCACAATGTGCACACTTTTAGTTGTTTTGTTTTTGTTGTAAATATGTTGATGAGGTGTAATTCTCCCTTCTGGAACAGCAGTTGTATGTAGAAGGTTTCTTATAAATTATACAAATCCATCCTCTTACTGAGATACTGTATTTACCCAACTATAAGACGACTTCCAAATTTTGGGAGGCCTCCTGACAATTTTTAAAAGTTGTAACTAATTCAAACTATTTAGTCAAAATAAAATTACATAATGTCTTATTGACTACTATAACATTGCCTTGTTGATGAGAATGTTAAGAGTTATTGTTGAACTATTATTTTCTTGTTCCTTAATATCATCATAATCATGGTTTTTGTCACTATCCTCATCACCATCACATGTATCGATGTTTCTTTTTGGTCCTCCCTCCATGTGACATTTTAGGCCCCTTTTGAAAATTTTGCGTAATAAATTGTGCGTTGTTTATCGTATTTCATCAGACACCATCTAAGAACATTCCCGCCTCTCACCAGATTATCTATCAGTGCCACACTTGTTGATGACCTCTGTTACTGTTCAAACTGCAGATTCCTATTCGCTGGGCATCGAACCGAGGTTCTGCATGACCTCGTCGAACCCACATCTTGTAGCAAACTCGGCATTCATTTTCACGTAACGTTTTATTTGGTAAAATGTCATTTGGTTAGAGATCCAATTTACCGGCCCATTCAAAAATATCGGTCTGAATTGCCCGACAAATTCTTGCTAGATACCGAGAATATGAACCGGAATATAATTGCGTATTGTTACGCGCGATTTTTTTGTACAGTCTTCGCAGTTTACTGTTACTACTGTAGTACGAGTTTCGTGACGAGGAATGACAATGTAAAAACTTAAATCTTAACCGACTAGCCTTAATCTGCGAATATAAGACATTTTTCGACTGAGATATTTCGGGAAAATCTTATATTCCGGTGAATACGGTATTATAGATAGGATAGCCGAAATGGAGATGGTACTTTTTGATCACACATTTTCAACATCCTATTAAGGAAAATTGTAAATTACCTATTAAGTTTTAGGAAATTAAGAGGAAGGTTCAATTATGAATTAAATATGTTAACAATTCAATGCAATGTATTTAGTGTGAACAAAAAAGATGAAAATGATAACTAATTCTGAACAAAACCTATAATAGCAATCCTCCTCAATTTATAAAATAAATGTGAAACAACATGTATGAAATTCTGACAATTTTTTAGTATTCTCATTTCTTTGCATTTAGATTTGTGAAATTAAAATAATTTTTCAAAGATGTTAATAAAAATTAATGATTTGGAAAGAAAACACATGATTCTAAGTCTTTGTAATAGAATAAAATATAATATTTATTTTATCTAAGTGGTTCTATAACACACGACATAGAGCAAGTGATTTTAGATCAATACAATAATGACAATAATTTATTTATAGTCCACAAACATACTTAGGTGTAATCCATAAATTACATAATACAAATTTTGGAATATTTTGAATACCCCCTCTCCCCCTGTAATGTACCTGGAACATGCATATGAACCCCTCTAAAGAATTAACAAATGCTTGAAACACCCCCCTCTCATTCACAGTTACTGAAAATATATTATATGACAGTAAAAACCATTTGTATTATTTTATTTGTTTTATATATGAAAATTTATGATAGTTTAAGTTAAAACTTGTTCATGATGCTGAAACCGCACCTAACAAAATGATTAGGGACCATTTTTGAGTGAAGGAAGGATGCTAGATGAGAGACTAATCTGAAAATTTAATTGGATTCTAGAAAATACTTCTAATCAGTTTTGAGTATTTTCTTCATAATCTAACAGATTCAATCAATATATCATTGATGAAAAAATATTTCCATTTATTGCAACACTTATATCATAATTTTTTAATTTATTTACATTTAAAAAAATTTAATGTATTAATATCTTAATGATTTAGTACATGACCAAATAAAATAAATTATTTCAGAAAAAAAAATCAATCTTATGTAACACTAGGCTTACACCCCCACCCTTATGTAACCCAGCATACTGATACCTCTTTATACCAGCATAATGATGACTCTTTAGCATTACGTAATTTATGGATGATCCTTTAACAAATCAGTACATGAACATAAGCCTTTTTTATTTACTATATCCAAGTACTCCTACTCTATAAAATATTACAAAACCAACTAAACAAAACAAAATAATGTAAACATATTCCATACCATTGTACATTTTTAAAAATAAATAATCTTATACTTGAGAAATTCTTTTACACTGTAAAGTTAAGATTAGATGAGAAGAAATGCAGATTCCTTTTGAATACATATGGCTTTCAATCTTTGAGATGCTTAGAGAGGTTGTTTAAAGGGAAGAATTTACTACCTAAGTACTACTTTTTAACAGGTATCACAAACAGATATTCTTTGTTCCTTATGTTATTAGCTATTTTATGCTTCAAATATCAATATGAATTATAATATTCAATCAATACTGTTTCTTAAACGAACATACATGGTGATGAGTTTGTGTTGTGTTTTAAAAAGTTGTCTACAACTTACATTTCTACTAACTTGCATCATTACTATTTTAACTTATTTTTTGGAAGTTTAAAATTGATATGTTATGAGTTGAGTTATACCAGAACAATATTCCATATAATGAGATGGAATGGAAGTGGATAAAAAAAATATATTAGCTGATCCAATATGCTACACTCTCCTGATGTACAGTAAAACAAAATATACTTTACTCTACTTTTTTATAGTTCTTGAATATATTGCTTTCATTTCAATGTATTGTCTAACCAAACCACGAAAAAATTTGCTTGGTCCGTGTACTGTTAATGATGTCTCTATTTTGAATCTTAACAGATGGACATTGAAAAGTGGTATTTTGGAATTCCAGAAAAGAAATTGCTATAGTTTTATCTGTGTTTGTTACTAGCCTTTTGCCATTCACTTTAGAACCTGTTAAGAATATACTTGTGTCATTTGATTGATGATGATTGTTGATTTCTCTTGATTGATGGTATATTTCAGGTATATAATATATCTAAAATATTACTTTAATCAAGAAAAAACAACTATCTTTGCTGAAATAATATAGGCCCAAGAACAGAACCATCTGGAGCACCATAACATTTACTTGATGAATATATTTAGAAACTATATTAATATCTGAACAAGTGTGCACAATTTGTACTGTTTTATTTTTCCGGTTCAACTTAAAGCAGTGTGGAAATGTACCACTACTAATATAATCATTTACCAATTTTGTTAATGACCTTCTTAAAGTATTTACATTATTTATAATATTTTTTTGCTCTATCATATCCAGAAAATTAATTTACATTAATTTCTCTAAAAATAATTGTTTTCATATCATTTATTTCACATAGTGGTAAATAAATGTTAACAATAACATCTGGAGGTTCCTGTATCACCTCTGCTTCATCATATTCATTTTATTCTATGATATTATTAATTTGCTCATTAAATTTTATTTGCAAAGTTATTTACTTCTTCATTTACACTGCTCTTCAAAATATTTAATAATATCATCTATTTTATTAACAGTTTTTCTATTTAATGTATTATTTATTTCTGTCTATAATCTTTACTATCATTCTTTATTATTCATCTTTACTATTCATATTATTATAAAGTTTCTTCTTAAAGTAATTATTTTTTGTATTTCTAATTTCATCATTAAGTCTATTTCTGAACATAGTATATTTAGTATTCTTTTATTATTTGGATTATATTTCCACTTTTTAAATAATCTATCTATTTCTTTCATTGTATGATAGAGCTCTTCAGTTACCCAATCTTTATATATTGTAAATAAACACACATTTTGAGTCTTACTACAGTTATTTCTAGAAACTGTTTCTCTGCATTCTTGATACATATTATTAAACTTGTTTACAATATTCATGAAAATGTTTACATCTGTGTCCTCACTCTGTTCCCATTCATATTGTTTGACAAGTAAATCCAAATTTTTTTGGTCAGTCTTATGGTATTCTTGAGTTCCTAAAGCCATTTAAGTTTCTCCTTACTGCTTATGCTGAATAGAGAAAGTATTGTAATGCTATGTGAAAAATGCAACAGAAAAATTCTTATTGCCATGCCCTAGTAACAAGCTCTTTATTATGTTCAGCAGTTAGCTTGGCCTCTAGGAAACAATTCAGATTTATGTAGATTTGTATTTTTCAAATCAATTTGATTTTATTTAAAAGTATTATTGAATGAATAAATGCTGATTACAAAATTCTATACCTTGAAAAGGATGGGACTTTAACCAATGTGATGCTGTAATAGTCTTCATGCCAGAATTCATACCATAAAATT